CGAGGTGAATATTAAACATATACTAGCACACTGTTATTTAAACAGAATATTAGTCACTGCACATGATGTTTTGAGGATTATTAATAATAGAGAATATGCTTATACCTTAGTGCTAAGTAAAAACAGCAGGCAGCAGAATTGTATAAACAATATTATTAGCACTTTCAAAAATACATTTAAAAAACGAAAGAAAATATATCAACATGTTAATAGTCCTTTTTCTGTCTTAAACTTTATGTATTTTGTATTTTCAAAATCAATCTTAAATACTATATGCTATTTTTATAAGAGAGAAACTTTATTTACTAGTCTTTTTTTTTTTTTTTTTTCACTTAATACACAGATGCAGAAGTGGTAGAGGTAACAGACTGACTAGTAATGTTATCTTTCCAGTGAGGTGACAAATCAGAGGTGTCACATGAACTGTTGAGATCAGTTAAGATCAAAGAAGTAAGTCTTACAATGTCTTGGAAAACAGACATAGAGAAATATACAAGGTGTTACTAAGAACTTTACTAAGTTAACACTTTCCGGTAAGATTCAGTGACACAACAGTATTATGTGAAATTTGACTGTTTTTACTAATATTAGCAACTAAAATTGGTTAAGAATTTGGTATGTGCTATGCATTATACTTTTCATTCATTATCTCATTTATTTGTCACAACAAACATAAAGGTAGATAATATTCCCACCTGCAGACCAGAAATGGAGTTAAAAAAAAGGGTTAAATAATTTGTCTACATATCACAAAAATAGGATGTGATAGAACTAAACTTCAGGGTTAAAGTTGGTTTATAGTTCCTTTCTCTAAGATATACTGCATCTTCAAGATCATACTGATTATGCACAGATAGATGAAGAGAAGATGTATATGCACATCAGTTTCTCTACGCAGAATGTAAAGTCCACATTGCCCATATTTCCAGTTATTCAAATCTGCTTTCCAGTTTTTACTGACACAATCACATGGGTCAGTTGTATTTGATGATATTTGTGGACTCAGCACACTGTCTCTTGTTTACTTTCATTCTACTATCAGCTTTCATCTCAGCCAGAGCCTGTTTAAACTAGGGCACGATTTCTTCTCCCAATCCAAGGACTACATGAATAACAAATACATGAACACAATCCTTTTCTGAACCCAAAGAACAACTTGATTTGAGTATTAACTGTTTGATGAGATGGACATGACATTACCTTTCCTTATGGGCTCTCGCATATGGCCATTGATTTACCAACTTTTGATTATTTTTTGATTGATGTGACCAACGATTGGGTACACAAAAAAACAAGGTGTATTTGCTCCTTTCTATATTAGTAAAATTAGGGCTCAGACTTAGAAAATATTATGTTTCTCTAACATTATGAATGCAGTATTTTTTTTAGTATAATAAAACACTTTGGGGTTGGTTTAAACTTTTTGAACCTTCTCTTCCAAGCCTTAACTAGCCTTGTTTCACTTTCTTCATGATCCAAATGGTACCCCTTAGTATGCTGCCATATAACTTCAACTCCTTTACTCTCTAGTTCTTTAGCTGTACTGACCCTGGAAAGTGCCAAACCTGAATTAATCTGGCCATCTGTCCTCGCTACCCTATGTTCACATAGCATTGCTGGGTAAAGTGCAGCAAATGTTCAGGTCAGGAGTACTGTAAAGAAAGCTGCAGTTCCTGGCCCCAGCTGGGTCCTCAGCATGGCCCATGTGATCCTCTCATCTTCCTGAATACAGCCACTCCCTTCAGGCCCCCTTTCTACCCATCACTTGTTGCTCTCCTCCAATGACATCAGGTTTTATTTCACTGAGAAGCTGCCTACTCCATGTACCTTTGGAAATAAGGTGGAGTTTAAAGAAATCTTGACATTTCTGCTCCTTCCTTCTTTTCTTTAAGGTCGACAATATTTGAAGCAACTCTGTTTACTCAAACATGCAATGAGTAACTCTTTGAATGCATGGCAATATAAAATATTCATCCAGGACTGTGTGTCCTGGATTTCAATGACAGCTGTGTCAATACTGACTTAGCCATATGTCAAATCCGTGACTCCTATCCTCATATACATACAATTTAAAAGAGGAGGTTATTCAAGTCTATCTAAAGATAACATCACTTAGAGTCAAATACTTCAAGGTATTGTAGTAAGTGGAGTATTTTGAAAGTGAGACTTTTGACAGTTCTTTGTGCATGTTAAGCAGATCCAGAGCTGCTTACATGAACTCTTATACTCCTGCAGAATCTCATATGGTAGTATATGCCTAATACTCCCTGATAAAGCATTAAATGTTACTAATGTATATGGTTAAGCCAATTATCCAGTGAAACATTGGCTACTTTCAGAAATGACAGTTTGTAAAATTCTACTTTGGGTTATGGCATTGAATTCATTATTAAAAATATCACTAGTTGAAATGATTCAGAAAGACAATGATTCTCTCCCTTATCTTTGAGCATTTGGAGTCTCAATTAAACTAAAATAAAAACTATGAACAATTCATTCTACAAAGCTGGATATTTATCAAAAAAAAAAGTGGTGTGCAGAAAGTCAGAAAAGAATCTCCTGAATACATTTGCATGATTCTAAATATGTCAATTTATTAGGTAATGCATATTGTGCAGTTTCCTTTATTCATTCATAATAAAGGAATTAGGATGAAGTATATCAACTATAAAACTCTTGTTATTTTGTCTGCCAAGAATAGGGAAAACAGTAGCTTTCTAGAAATAGTAGAAATAGTTTGGGTGGGCCATTTTTATTAGTTTCAGTAGGATTAAAATAATGACTGGGCACGCTGTAATTCCAGCACTTTGGGAGGCTGAGGCAGGCAGATCACAAGGTCAGGAGATCGAGACCATCCTGGCCAACATAGTGAAACTCTGTCTCCACTAAAAATACAAAAAGTTAGCTGGGAGTGGTGGCACATGCCCATAGTCCCAGCTACTAGGGAGACTGAGGCAGGAGAATCATTTGAACCTGGAGGCAGAGGTTGTGCCACTGCACTCCAGCCTGGCAACAGAAAGAGACTCCATCTCTAATAATAATAATAATAATAATAATAATGTGGTTCTTTTCAACCAATATATTCATCGCCCTTCAACATTTAAAATTTTAAGGACTGTGCTTTGATGATAGTATTTATTCTCAGAATTGGTGTATGTAATAAATAAATGTTTGCTCTCCTAGACATGGTGCTTTGGATAAGGGTGAAGTTAAACTCATACAAATTTAGATTTTATGGTACAATAGACTAAGAAAAAATTGTTTTAATTTTTTTATTTTAAAACCTAATTCTAGTAGTAAATAAATAATAAGAAACAAAATTGGATGAATGATCCAATTAGTTTATTTAAAAGTCAGAGTGTTTGGCTCTGTGTTATCTCTATGCCACTATATTTCAATGTTTTCAAAATAGAGATAGTGTGCATTTGAATTAAGGGCTTTATTTATAAAGTTTGGAAATGAAAATCAATTGTATCTAGAATATAAATTAAGACATTCAGATAGAGAGGTTTTTGGGGGTTTCATGTGTGTAGGCAGTAAATTCTTATTTGGATCATCAAAATCAATTGTCCCGTTCCTTTTAAAACTGTATTTTAGTATTTAACCTTAACATTTTTGTGTAAATGCATGGTTTAGAAACACACAAATAAGACTAGGTTCAAGCATCCAGGTGCCGCCTTACTGGACATCCGTTGTTTGATCAGGAAGTATTAAAATAATCTGAAGCCAATGTTATGTCTTCCTAACTATTATTAGCTGTTTGAAAAGATCTAGATTCTCTTTTATCTGAAGATGCCTTATTCATTGGAAATTAAATGTTTAAATATATTTGAAGATACCATTACGCTCAAGTAAAATGGAAAAAGAGAGGCAACAAAACAAAACAAGCAAAATCTGTGAAATCAGATTGTTTATGAAGCAACTCGTATCGTATTTGCATGTTAACCTTGACCTTATGGCTCCAGAATTTTTAGTGAACCACAAAATCTAAAGATACCTTTTGCATCTATATACAGATATCACCTTCATTTAGCTACACAATACATACTGTTTCAGTGCTTTAATATAAAGGGAAAATGATTAATTTTGAACATGTCCTAAAGCAAAAAATTCTTTTTACTCTATTGTATAACGTTTAATTCAAAAACTCTTTTATTGGTACCACTCCATCTGCTTTCTCATGTCTTTTTTAAAAAAGAATTCAATGATGCCCTTAGTCACTTTGCAAATCACTTATTTTCCAGTCTTCCTGATTTAAAATACGCTAGTCCCAGTGTCATGATACACTGGCCAGAAACTATATCACTGGACATTCTTGCTACTGCAACAGGTGTTTGTCAGTTTCTTAAGTTGCTTTCCTTTCCCCTGAGGTGGTGTTATTTCCGGTACATTCCAAAGGCTCTGAAAAAAACTTCTGCAGTCTCCTGCCAAGCTAAATCACCACTCCAGGCTCAAAGTTATTTAGAATCCATTGTCTTCCAGGTTTATTACACAGACAAATTGTGTATGTCTTTCTGTATTTCCAACTTTTAGCAACTAAAATATTTACTAAGAGTTTGGTAAAACTAAAACTGAAAACAAAAGTAATTTTTATCCAGAAGCAAATGCTCTGGATGTCTGGGAACAAGGTTGATTCTATTCCCGGCAAACCTAATGCGAAAAGGTTTTCATCATCCAACTAGACCACCCTGAAACCTGACATACACATAAACAAAATAGACCTTGATAACTTGCAGTATATATGCTTATGTTTTGCCCTAGAAATCAGGCCTCTGCACACAGTTTGTGGCTGAGCCTTTTATTGCAGAACTTAGGAGCAAAATATTGGTACCGATTGCTTATGTATATAGTTTCTTTCCTTGTCATACATCTCTCCCTTACTTCATCAGGTAAAACCCAAGCCCACCATACTATCAATCAGTCATGGTCATATCTCTCTTACACACACACGCTTTAGAACTATGACAAGGCAACAAGAAGACACGATCGCTCAAACCAACCTTTTGGAAGTTTCTCAGTTCCGCTGAAGGCGACCAGAGTAAGAATATGTACCAGTGGAATGTTGACGAGCTCTCTCATGATTAATCCAGGCTCACGCAGGACAAAGTTCCTTCTGGACAACACAAGGAAAATGCCTCCACGGTTTACATTTTAAAGCATAGTTGGTGGCAAAAGGGTCGTCTGCTAATGACTGTTTGTGTCAGCAGCTCCACAGGCTCTAAGTATAATCAGGAATTCTCAGACTTGGCTGCAATGATGGACACAACCAGCTGGTGAGTATCCACGTAGGCCAGGAACGCAAGTGTAGGGCTGGAGGAACAAGGGCAAGAAAATCCCTTTAGAATCCCTTTTAAGACAGTGGCAGAAGACAATACCACATGCCTTTTGCAACCATCACTGTATTTTCAGAGGTATAGGTGTCCTGACCTTCGGATTCAGCACCACATCTCTCCTGGACTCAAACCAGAAATCTGGGCCTATTTAATCTCCATTCTTCCCCTCTCTCACCCCACTCCCACTCCCACATTCAGCCCATTCCAATTCCTACAGATTTTTCCAACGAAATAGTCCTTGTATTGCCTTCTCTCTGTCTTGGGTCTTACCATTCTCTATCTTTTTTCAGATAGTCGCTCCAGCTCAAAATCCTTTCGTGCCTTCTCATAACATAAAAATATATTTAAACCTGCCTAATCTGCCTAATATGACAGGCTTTACTGTAATCTGCATGCTTTGCTGTATGTTAGTATTATCTTTTACAATCCTTTTTTCAGAGTCAGGGTCTTGCTCTGTTGCCCGGGCCGGAGTGCAGTGGTGTAATCATAGCTCACTGTAACCTCAACCTCCTGGACTCAAGTGATCCTTTCAGAGTAGCTAGGACTACAGACACCTGCCACTACAGCAGGCTAATTTATTTTTATTTTTTGTAGAGATGGCAGTCAGGCTATGTGACCCAGGCTGGTCTCAAACTCCTGGCCACAAGTGATGATCCCACCTCACCCTCTCAAAGTTCTGGAACTACAAGCATGAACTACTGTGTCCAGCCTCATGCAGCTTCTTATATTCAACAACCTGCATGATGGTTCCCTGTATACAGCTTTCCTCTTCCATGAATTGTTCATACCATTCCCTTCTCTTGGGATACTACTCTCCTCCTTTCAACCCAGTTCAAATCTCTCTCAACTTGATTATCATCTCCTCCTGGGAGAAAAATCCCATATCTTTCCAAAGCTGTGTTATGTTTGTCTTCTCTGGGTTTCCATAACATACTGTGCACATCTCTACCGTTGCACTGACCATTTGAATTTTTTTTGCCCTCATGTTGGTGTCTCCTTCATTCTTTGGCCTCAGGAGTTCATTTGTAGAAGTTTAGAGTCAGGTAGTGTGATGCCTCCAGCCTTGTTCTTTTTGCTTAGGATTGTCTTGGCTCTTCGGGCTCATTTTTGGTTCCATATGAAATTTAAAGTAGGTTTTTCTAATTCTGTAAAGAAAGTCAATGGTAGCTTGATGGTAATAGCATTGAATCTATAAATTACTTTGGGCAGTATGGCCATTTTCACGATATTGATTTTTCCTATTCATGAGCGTGGAATGTTTTTACATTTCTTTGTGGCCTCTTATTTCCTTAAGCAGTGATTTGTAGTTCTCCTTGAAGAGGTCCTTCACATCCCTTGTTAGTTGTATTCCTAGGTATTTTATTCTCTTTGTAGCAATTGTGAATGGCAGTTTGCTCATAATTTGGCTGTTATTGGTGTATAGGAGTGCTTGTGATTTTTGCACACTGATTTTGTATCCTGAGACTTTGCTGAAGTTGTTTATCAGCTTAAGGAGTTTTTGGACTGAGACGATGGGGTTTTCTAAATATACAATCATGTCAACTGCAAACAGAGACAATTTGACTTCCTCTTTTTCTATTTGAATACCCTTTATTTCTTTCTCTTATCTGATTGCCCTGGCCAGAACTTCCAATACTGTGTTGGATAGGAGTGGTAAAAGAGGGCACCCTTGTCTTGTGCCTGTTTTCAAAGGGAATGCTGCCAGCTTTTGCACATTCAGTATGATATTGACTGTGGGTTTGTAATAAATAGCTCCTATTATTTTGAGAGACATTCCACCAGTAGCTAATTTATTGAGAATTTTTAGCATGAATTGTGTTGAATTTTATTGAAGGTCTTTTCTGCATCTGTTGAGATAATCATGTGGTTTTTGTGATTGGTTCTGTTTATGTGATTGATTAAATTTATTGATTTTCATATGTTGAACTAGCCTTGTATCCCAGGGATGAAGCCAACTTAATCTTGGTGGATAAACGTTTTGATGTGCTGCTGGATTCAGTTTGCCAGTATTTTATTGAGGATTTTCACATCAATGTTCATCATGAATATTGGCCTGAAATTTTCTTTTTTTTTTTTTTTTTGGTTGCGTCTCTGCCAGGTTTTGGTATCAGGTTGATGCTGGCCTCACAAAATGAGTTATGAAGGAGTCCCTCTTGTTCTGTTGTTTGGAATAGTCTCAGAAGGAATGGTACCAGCTTCTGTTTGTACCTCTAGAATTCAGCTGTAAATCCGTCTGGTCCTGGGCTTTTTTTGTTTGATAGGCTATTAAATACTGCCACAATTTCAGAACTTCTTATTGATTTATTCAGGGATTCAACTTGTTCCTGGTTTACTAAATCAGCATGGTAATGGTACTAAAACAGAGATATAGACCAATGGAACAGAACAGTGGCCTCAGAAATAACCCAATCTCATCAATACAACCGTCTCATCTTTGACAAACCAGACAAAAACAAGCAATGAGGAAAAGATTCCCTATTTAATAAATGGTGTTGGGAAAACTGGCTAGCCATATGCAGAAAACTAAAACTGGACCCCTTCCTTACAACTTATACAAAAATTAACCCAAGATGGATTAAAGACTTAAATGCCAAACCTCAAATCATAAAAACCCTAGAAGAAAACTTAGGCAGTACCATTCAGGACATAGGCATGGGCAAAGACTTCATGACTAAATCACTGAAAGCAATGGCAACAAAAGTCAAAATTGACAAATGGGATCTAATTAAAATAAAGAGCTTCTGCACAGCGAAAGAAAGTACCAGAGTGAACAGGCAACCTGAAGAATTGGAGAAAACTTTTGCAATCTATCCATCTTACAAAGGGCTAATATCTTGAATCTGTAAGAAACTTAGGCAAATTTACAGCAAAAAAACCAACCCCATCAAAAAGTGGGTGAAGCATATGAACAGACACTTCTCAAAATAAGACATATATGTGGCCAAAAAACATATAAAATAAAGCTCATTGGCTGAGTGTGGTGGCTCATGCCTGTAATCCCAGCACTTTGGGAGGCTGAGGTGGTGGATCATAAGGTCAGAAGTTTGAGACCAGCCTGACCAAATGGTGAAACCCCATCTCTACTAAAAACACAAAAATTAGCCGTGTGTAGTCCCAGCTACTCAGGAGGCTGAGGCAGGAGAACTGCTTGAACCCAGGACACAGAGATTGGAATGAGCCAAGATTACACCACTACCCTCCAGCTGGGTGACAGAGCAAGACTCCCTGTGAAAGAAAAAAGATAAAAATCTCATCATCACTAGATATTAGAGTAATGCAAATCAAAACCACAATGAGATACCATCTCATGACAGTTAGAATGGCAATCATTAAAAAAATCAGAAAACAGTTGCAGGAGAGGATGTGGAGAAATAGGAACACTTTTACGCTGTTGATGGAAGTATAAATTAGTTAAACTATTGTGGAAGACATTGTGATTTCTCAAGGATCTAGGACCAGAAATACCATTTGACCTGCAATCTCATTACTGGGTATATACCCAAATGATTGTAAATCATTCTATAAATACACATGCACATGTATGTTTACTGTAGCCCTATTAACAATAGCAAAGACTTGGAACCAACCCAAATGCCCATCAATGATAGACTGGATAAAGAAAATGTGGCACATATACACCATGGAATACTATACAGCCATAAAAATGATGACTTCATGTTCTTTGCAGGGAGAAGGATGAAGAGGATGAAACTGAAAACCATTATTTGTGGCAAACTAACACAGGAACAGAAAACCAAACACTACATGTTTTCACTGATAAGTGGGAGTTGAACAATGAGACTACATGGACGCAGGGAGGGGAACATCACACACTGGGGCCTGTCAGGGGGTGAGGGGCTAGGGAAGAGATAACATTAGATGACGGGCTGATAGATAGAGCAAACAACCATGGCACGTGTATAGCTATGTGACAAACCTGAACATTCTGCACAAGCATCCCAGAACTTAAAGTATAATAATAATAGAAATATTTTTTAAAAGTTGAGAAATAAGGATATTAATTTTATCATTAATTTTGATACCAAAAATTGGAAATGAAAATATCTAACAATGAGGATAGATTAAGTACATTATATTACATCTACATATTGGAATATTAAAAATATCTAAAATGATAATGCAGAAAAATGGGTAATGCCAAGGAAAGATGTTCACAATAAGGGGTTGAATGAAAAAGGTAATTATTAATATTTCTAGATAAGGATGCAGAGATTTGGTTGTACATTTCTTGTGCAATACTACAACCAACATAAGAAAAGCAGAAAAGGATATATTGTGAAAAATTAATCTCTTGTTTGCTCTAGACACACAGCACCCTATCCCTGTGGCAGCAATTACTCATTTATTTTATTTCTTAATCTTCCAGAAGTAACTTATTCTTATGCAAACATAGGTATGAATAAAGAGCTCATTTTTATTCAAATGACCACACTACTGCACAGTCTAAATTTCCTACTGAGAGGTAATATGGTTTCTAATTTGCTATGCATCCTTCTAGATCTTTTTGTATACATTTACACACATACTTATGTATATATAGAAATACGTAGTTTTGCTTTGTAGCAAGGCTTTTATGAATGGTATCTTCCTCTATGTAAGTATCTGTTTGCATTCTTAAAAAAGAGATGACAAGATAGAATTAGACATGCCAAAGATTTTCAGAGGAAATGCTTGTGAAGAATAAAGGGGAGAGGGGACATATGCAGGAGGTGAGAACATTCAGACTGCATCACAGTTCTGACACCTGTGAAAGGAGAGATGGAAGGAATCAGGACAGGATGGGAGGAGACTCAGACTTCAGTGCAGCTCTGAGAAAGTTTCATCCATGGCCGTGGGGAGTCACCAAACAAAGATTGCCCTATTAGGGGAATCCTGCACTGGGTAGAAATGGTGTGGTTGTGCAATCTCTTGCTATGCTCAATTGTCGGCTGGGAGAAACCCACGGAGAGTGTAGTT